GAGGACAGACACTGCGGTCTGCCAGCCCTCTTGTGTCGCCATTTGTGGCCGCAGCCGGGCTGTACGCTCACGCGCCTGACGCGAAGCTCCCGCTTCTTTGCCGTAATACGCTGTACCAGTTCAAGTACGATGAACTAACTCGCCCAGTCTTCAACACTTGTGCTGCGCGCATGCTTTCATTGGTCATCCCAGTGTGCAGGGTGTTAGGCAGGATCACAGTCGGTTACATTGAGGAAGTAGTAGTATTGTTGCGAAGAGGAATGCGTATTGTTGTTTATTTGAAACGTTTAAACTGGGCTAGCAGTAGTTATGCATGGGCCGATACTTGAACTGCAGTCGGTTGTGTGTGAAAGCAGTGCAGCTTAGTATATGGACCAGGACACGAAGGTAAATATTTTACACATTGCACGCGCATAACGACTGACTTTAGTGGCCCAATTTATTGTAGTGTTATCAGAAATCGCGATGGCCCTGTTCTAGCCGGCCCTCCTATCATCCTGTACGTCAGAGTTTAACATGATGAAAAACACTTCAACATTTGGCTTTCGGCTGTGGGCGATGATTGAGCGCTCTTTTTCGATGGCTTTGCTTTATGCTTGCGTGTACGAATGGCCAATTTGTAAGTGCTCACGCAAAAACAGATTTCCGCTTCTGTTGAGTCATGCGGTGGTTTTGCTTCTCGAAAGTGCCGTGCGGTCAACGGAGTTTTCCTATCCCCGCGGCCTAGGCGTCCGCTGTGTGCCCCTCCAGTCCAGCGGAGTGGCCGGAGAAAAGGCGGTCATCCCGGCTATCTTTAGTGCGTTCTCTGCGGCATCGTGTCGCCGACGGGTGCGGCGGCGATTCCACCTGCAAGCTCGCGAGGCACCCGTGTCTGCGCGTGTCCCCCAATTAAGCGTCCTCCCCTGTGCGCGTTCCTGAGCTGCCATTGCTTGCTTCCACTTTCTCCACCTAGCGACGTTAATAACCGTGGCGGGGGTGGCTCTCGCGAAATCCCGCAGGCGCGCGAACCTAAGGCTGACCGTGTCCGGTGACCGCGCCCGTACAGCTTCCAGCATAGCAGATACCTTACGGGGAAGCCTCGAAAGAAAAAAAACTTTAATACGCGATGTTGTTCTCTCTCTGCGAATCTGTTTGATGCGCAGCCCCGCTGTCTTAGACGAACGTTTTTGCGAGTGATTCAGCACTGCGCGATTACGGGTCGTTCGGAAAGTGGAACATGCCTGCGCGCGCCCCTGTTTGGGAAGGCGCACAAGAGGCGCAGCTCTGTCGGCTGCCCGCCGAACGCTTCGGGGGCTCGCTCGCATTATGAGGCGAGCCCTTGGCGTCATGATGCCCGGCATCTAATAGCGATTCGCCATCCTACAGGCTAGCTGATAAACGGTCACCGCGTGCCGTTGTCATGCTCGGGTTGTATGGCTCGGCTTTTGTGCTGTCGAGACGCGAGCAATTTGCCGTATCTCTGAGGAGGGGGGGGGGGGGGGCTTCTCTCTAAGAGCGTGTGGCATATTGTGTATCGACTCACTTGTATCGCAGTTTGGAACGTTGAATATTCGGCCGACGCGGCCGGCCTGCACGCGCCTCAATAGAAGATCGCGCTTGTTTCCCGAGCTTTGAGATTGTGTGCGCACTTCGTGGGGGCACGCCGTCATCGCGGGCTGTCTGTTACACGAACGATTTTCTCGAGTTTTGCACGCGTGTAGCGGGACACTGTTCGCGAAACACCGTCCGCACAGTCACTCTCGAGCCGATGGTTGTCATCGGCCGTGCGTATGGAAATCTCCCGTGCTGTAATGCATTCCACGATCGCGGAAACGGTCCAGTGAGGGAGAAGTCTGGCGAGGGATATAACTTGAAGCGAGCACCGATTACATCTCTGTCCGGCGCTTCGTGCTTTGCTCATGACCGTTTTTTGCTCGCTTATTCGTATATGACGCTCATTGCGGGCAAGTCCATCTCGGTCGTAACAACGCCTTGCTCGTGATGGATGCGTACGTAATACGCGCGGTCGTTGTCCTCTCGGCGAATGTCTTGCGTCCGTCCGCCTGCTTGCTTGTGCAAGCACCGTCGCGCACTGCTGCATGCGGGCCTTCTGCGGTCGGCTCTGTCAGTTTCCTCTTTTTTGGCCACTTTCGAAAAGCACGCACGCGAGACCGACTCGAGGATTGCGTGCGTCGTCGGACGTCTTGTTGCTCGCGGAAGAGAAATTCCGCCGCGGGATTCTGGCTGCGGTGGCTTTCGCGGCTAAACGAGCTTCTCGTCCGGCTGCATTATAGTGCGAGGCATGCAGCTGCGCCCCCGTCCGGCAGCGTTTTCAACGCCATCCACTCCGCTGCCCGGGCGCACGAAGCGTCTTTGTGCGCCTAATGTCGTTTTCCGTGTATTAAACGCCGGCCGTGGAGTATACGCGGCGATTCCTCAGCCGGCTACGTGTATACGCTGGCAGGTCTATAGTCGATGACTGGCAGGTGATTATATAGTCGTTGACCCCGCGAGTGTCGCGCTTGTAGATATTTACGTATCTACCAAGTGGCAAACGCACGTTTCAGTTCTCAAAGCTGTGGAAACAGCAAAGCTTGCCGCTAGGCCAGACAAAATCTCGCCGCCAACACTCCTGTGTATCGATAACTCTTTCGGGTGGCAATGAAAGTGTTTCTCTTCACTCCATTATTGTTGTTTGTGCACATATTGGACGTTTCGGCCGGGGGTTTCGATCTAGTGCTCGTTTGACTTTTTAATTGTTATGGTGATCCTTTTGGTCTGCCAAAAAAGGCGCTGCAACGCAACATGAACATTTCCTCACGCAAGGGAAATCCTACACGTTTCCGATGCATTCAGCACATCACGTGCATTTTTCTTTCAGTATTAGAATATCGCGTAATTTAATTAGATGCACTATATGGTTAAATGGTAACTATACTTCCCAAACTTGTAGGCACAGATAAACCGCATGGTTACGTGACTTTTTGTTTAATTTTATTTACGTGATAAATTTTGTGAATATCGAATGACATCCTATTTTTATTCTCGGTTTTGTTGCGATAGTAGTCATATGGACACTCTCGGCTGGATTTCGCCGCCGGCATCGGCGTCATGCACCGTATATGTATACGTATCTATATATATGAAAACGCAAGGCAAAAATCCAGAAGAAAGACTCCGGCGCGCGGAATCGAACGCGGGACCCCCGCGTCGTGAATGCGAGGCGTTAACCACTGAGCCACCGAGGGATACCACCTCCAACGCTCAAACGGCAAGCTATTTGAACCTACCACTTGCCGCTGTTGGTGGGCATCTCGGGGGGGGGGGGGGGGGGGGGCGTACAAAGGTGACTGCACTCGTTGCACAGTCTCCGCTTGCGAAAAGAGCGCGCTTTTCAGACACAGCGAAGTAACAACTGAGACGCTTATTCGCGTGGTTATGTACCTGTGAGTACGTTCCGTGCGTCATTTGTGCGTGAGAAACGCGGGGCACGTTTCGATCCTCTTGCCAATCTGCGCGTGACCTTCCAATCAGTTGCTATCGCGTTCATTGCTTCGGCTTTGCGGCAGAGCTGTGACTTCTTTCGATACGTATCATTAATCGAAAGTTCGTTGGTCCACCTGTTCAGCTTCGCACACGACGACGTCCTTCGGGTGGCCAGTGGTGTAGTCGAGCGTTCTTACCGCTATCCTAGCGTCGGCCCTCTTGAGCGGACAGGACCTTTTGAGAGCATAGCCGCTATGGTATAGCTTAGCTCCTAAGCTCGAAGAATAGGGCCCTCTGGCAGCCGTATTCCGATTCGGGCCGCATTTCGACATTAAAGTGGATTTGATGGACGGGTTTATTGCATCGCGGGTGATGTACATGCAACAATTATACACCATATTCATACAATAAGTTAAATAAATAAATAAAGCGCTCTCTTGCTTCCCACTGTGTAAGATCTGTTGATTGTGTTGTTCTCTTAATTATCAGTGATTAGAGATTAGGAACTTTTTGACTATGTATCTGGAAAGTAAACACAAGAGTTGTTAGATGGTAATTCAGGTTGGTTGTTGTCATGGAGGAGGAGACAAAAAACAAGTTGAATGAGTCTACAAGTTTTTTTTTTTATTTTTGCTGGTGTACCTATTTGTTTTCTCCTTTTTGCTGTTCAATGGCGTAGTTTGCGGACCCATCAAGTTTCGCTGAAACCAAGTCGCTAAACACTGGCGCGGTGCTGCTGCCAACGTGCAATATTTTCCTTTGAATCTCAGGTTTGCAACTGATAGCGATTGGAATTTAACTGGAAAGTGCAATTGAACCTGACTTCAAATAAAAAGTTAGGCATTCCAGGAACAGACTTTGAAGACCTGTGGCTCGGGGTATTTCTTGGAATGGCATGCCGGCTTTCCTAACAACTCGGGACCAACCCCAAATGTCTGCGTACGTGTGTGCGTGCTTATTTTAATTAGTTGATTTGGAGGAGTGGAGGAGAATAAAAGTTTGCTAATTGTTTTTCATTAACTTGTCCGGTGTATGTTCACTCTTTGGCAATAATTAATTGTGATTGTGCACGTTGTTGGAGATCATCCTCATCATACCAGATCGCACGATCTAATGCTAGTGTGTGCAGTGTGTGAAATCTGATATCGGCATGATAGCTCAGATCAGCGAATCGCGATCTCGAATATATATATATATTTTTCATCTGTTATATGATGGTATATAATGAACACTTAGCGGCAACCGACTGCGTGTGGGTAGAACTGGTCGCGCCACGCGTGCATGTCAGCGGCTTAATCGTGAGGGTGCCACATTGTACACTTCCTAAATGATGAGGAGCATAGTTCGCGGAGTTTTTGTGTGTGTGTGTGTGTGTGGGGCTTCTGTTGAGTGCGGTCTTGTTTAACGAATGAGAGAAACTTGGGCAAAAAAATAATAGTAGTAGTTTTGTCATTATCTAAGCACACCGCGGTTATATGCGGCGCAAAGGATCCCTCGTTTCTTTGTTTTCTCATTGTTTGCGCTTCTCTTTGCAGTTTCCACCCGACCCATTGCCACAAGCGAATACAAGGTGAGCCGAAACACTTGTCGCCTCATTGAGGAATGGGCCAGCGGGGATTTTGTCTCGGCCTGTATACGCGCAACGAGGGAGCTGTCCAAGTGGCGACCGCTCAATTTAAGATATAGCTTGTTTGCTGCGCATGCGTGCAGGCATTGCGCGTGCAACCGCGAGAGTGTTGAACGCACCAAGACGTCGCTCATAATATTGATTGATTGATTGATTTGTGGGGTTTAACGTCCCAAAACCACTATATGATTATGAGAGACGCCGTAGTGGAGGGCTCCGGAAATTTCGACCACCTGGGGTTCTTTAACGTGCACCCAAATCTGAGCACATGGGCCTACAACATTTCCGCCTCCATCGGAAATGCAGCCGCCGCAGCCGGGATTTGAACCCGCGCCCTGCGGGTCAGCAGCCGAGTACCTTAGCCACTAGACCACCGCGGCGGGGCAGCTCATAATATCTACGGCGAATGTGCCTCTTCACGAGCCAGCCTTTCTTTGCAGCCCGGGCGTGCCTGTTGAGATGAAATTAATCCTACGTTGCGCAGCAGAGCTAGCGCGATTTTTTTTTTTCGCGAGTGTACACGGGACAGCTGCGGTTTGCGAATGGAGTATACGAAGTTAATGTAGTTAACGTAGCCTCGATTTCTTTCGCAGCTATAAGTATGATGCATGTACGAATTTTTCTATTTTATTCTTGACTTATTGAGGACAATATTACGTATTATCTAAGGGGTCGTGTTAGGCGACTCGGCAAATGGCAGACATTTACCTGATGGTGCTGCAGTAATAATAATAATAATAATAATAATAATAAATTATCAAGCGTTCCTGTGATTATATAACGACATCGCGTAATATGACACGAAATTCAGGGAACGTTACTGAATAAAACAAAAACAACAACAAAAAAACCACGTGCGCTCAAGAATGGTCGACTGAAGGAGAAATGATGAAAGTTTTTTCAACAAAGCGGCATGGGTTAAGGCATACGTCCCTGCATCTATACATGAAGTAGCATCTTGTATTCTCTTGGTGAACTTTTAATGCTTAGAACGACGGGAAGTTGTAGTTGCCGAATGTTCACCATAAAAAGAAGGAAAGTCGGGCAGCAATTGCAATATGGAAAAACGAACAACACAAACACCGGCTGTCAAGTGAAAAGAGTAAACGCAGACTTTAACTTTGCATGCTCGTATAGCGACACCTGTGGAAATGGCGCATATGCGGGCGTACACAAAAGATAACCACTTAAACACTTGACGTTTTCTATACGCAAGTAAAGTCGAAGACTGGCTCGCGCATGCACTTCTATTCTAACGATATGTCAAGGCTCGATCATAGACACGTACGCGCCTTCGTTCTCGTGTCTCTACAAAACTGCACATTTGCCAACATTGGAGACTATGGAGACTATGAGATGAAAAGTACAATGGAGACTATGGGATGAAAAAAATTAGTTTGATTCTCCAATTATACGGACCTTTGATACTCGGGTAATCTCCGATTCGTACAATGCGTTATCTATCGGTTCATTTAAGTGGCCGCAGCTAAGGAATTTCGTGTGTCCCACTAAGGCAGTCTGTAAATTTATTGTATTCCTCACGAAACGAATGTCTGTCCTCCTTTGTTTCGTAAAGCACAACAATCAGTCTACAGAATGCCGTGCGGGTGTAACATGATTTTCCCTATCAGGTGCGGCTGACCTATTGGCAGATAAGCCGTTGTGTAGATATATATATAGGCAGATAAACCGTTGTGGCGCTCGAATACCACAACCCCAAGGGCGCGGAATCGAATTCGAGCTGCGGTGCGGCTGCATATTTGATGGAGGCGAAAATGTTTGAGGCCCGTGTGCTCAGATTCGGGTGCACGTTGAAAAACCCCAGTGATCGAAATTTCCAGAGCCGTCCCCGATGGCGTCTCTCGTAATCATGTGGTCGTTTTGGGACGTTAAACGCTAACCGGTGTTATTAATAGTAATATCATAATTGCGTGACTTTAACATGCCAAAATTGCTATATGGTTATGATGCACGTCGTATAGATAGTCGAGGACTCCGGAGCACCTTTGACCACCTGAGAATGTTTAACGTGCATCTAAATCTATGCAGCCACCGTCTGCGAGTGCTTACCGTATGTTGTTGTAAATAAAGCACTCGCATGCTTTTGCATTTCACCCCCATTTCGCCGCTGTGGCCGAGAATCGAACCCGCATCCTGCAAGCTTGGCAGTGCAGCATCTTACCTGTTAAAATATACCACGGTGCATTACCAAAGTAATCTCAACGTGAAATTACCAAGGTGAATGCTTCTTGGTGGTTAGTGCCTGTCCGTTTTGTTTTTTTTTTCTCGTTCTTTTTTTTAAAGCTGTATATAGCTTGGGCATACCCGGTCGTCCGCTGGCAAAAACGCAGTTGCCACAGCTCTCAAAATTACCACGGGCTCTCAAAATTAGGAAATGAACGCACGGGGCTTTTCGACGGAGGAGAAAATTCTGTAGGCCCGTGTGCTCAGATTCGGGTACACGTTAAAGAAGACTAGGCGGTTGATATTCCCGGAGCCCTCCACTATGGCGTCTTTCGTAATCGTATGGTGGTTTGGGGACGTTAAACCCCACATATCAATAAATCAATCAATCAATCAATCGATCGAACGCACGGGGCAGCAAACGTCAATTAAGATCATGCATGCAACACCACGCGCATGCGGCAAACCATACAATGCAAAAAATAAAAAAGTGTGCTAAATTCAAGAGCGACTTTCTAGTTTGACATTGCGGCTTTATTTGCTGGATGTGTGATCGGCTGTGCACGTGATTCGAAATTCGGTGTCGCATCTTTGGCGTGGTTAAAACAGCTTCGCTGGGCATCCCTCTTTCCAGAGTGGAATGACTCTTTCATTTTTATTAAATGTTTTTCTACCTTATACTCTGCGAAACAGCTTTAACACCAAGGCCTCTAAATGTCGGCAGGGCGCGCCAGATAGAGGGATTAAAGCAAGAATTATGATAATTTTTAGCGCGTTCACTAGTTCTGTTTAATTGTGTCGCGTTGTAACTCCGGCTTCCTCGTAGTATACATATTGGGCATACGATCGCCGTGCCAAAAAAAAAAAAAAAAAAGAAAAAGTAAAGATTAGCGCAAATGAGTGCTCCATCAGAACCCCCGATATTGTACCTGTGTTTTTTCCGTTTGTGGCATGTATTCATAATTGTGTCGGCAATATATCTCGGTGATTGATCGATAAGGGATGCGCTCCAAACATGGGTATATCTGACAGCTTCTCAATTACCTTTCAAACGGGGGGACCAATAAATTACATGCATCTGTTTATTTCGCACCAATAAATGATGGTTTGATGCGTGTCCTAATGTACAATCGTACGTTTATAGAACGTGCCGCGTAATCTAAGGTGGATGCTGGCTGTGACGTATTCGACATTGATAGTACATAATAAGAAGAAAATTTACTTGTTATCACACCACTTGGATTCGGAAAAAAATTGTTTTCGTTTTTTTTTGCACGCAGTTAGGAAAATTAGTCAAAATTTGCGTGGGGTAACACGTAGAGAAATAAACCTGCGGCAACACCCAACGTTGAACGTGAAACCAAAGCATCCCACATGATATACGAAAACACCAAACGATGGCTGACTACGGATATGCTTGGGGGAAAGATATCGCACTGTCTCGATGTACGGCTAAGCTTTTCGAAACTCATATTGTTGGCATCGTGACGGTTGATCCACAGGAGTTTACGCAAAGGACACGCACCACGATGGCTGAACACCGTGTATTCGACTTGCGAGCTGATGGCGTCATACGTTGGTTTACAGACGATGTGCTTGCACTTCTTGATTTCGTCTGAAGTTGGTTTTATTTTATTTATTTTTTTTCGAGAAAGTCTGAGCTTATATAAGTGTCATCGCAAGTTCGCATGTCTAAAAACGTATAAAGTGACGAAACGTTATCCTGTCTAAATTTCGCCAGAAAATTGCTACGGGATTTTTTTTTTACTTATATGAAATTTAGCCGACGTGATATCTCGTGAACTCATTTGATGGGCTGCTATTGACTTACGATAGAGTGAGTCTATAAAAGAAAGAAAGTAACAACACACGTTAAATTTTATTCGCGGCTGTTGGTTCCTCTGTGAATGAGTTCTGCTGTGCTTTTTAGTTTAATGTACTATATGTAATGTATATAGTTTAATGTATATAGTTTAAAGTAGTTTAATGTGCTATATGAGTTAACGATGAATTGCTAGGAAGCGCATTTGTGAGCGTTTACGTAGGTAAGCGAAGAACTTTTTCAAACGTGTAATTTTCTGAAGCCTGAAGTGTAACTGTATGGCGATCAATGTATCAGTTTTTGCACATATTAGGCGTTTTTTTTTTTTTCCTCCGGTTCTCTTGCTTCTTGCTCTTCGAGGTATATACCGTGTAGCGTATACGTACAGCTGTGCTTAGCGCGCACCGCTCCTGTATCGCGTTATACATCGGCAACAAGCTCCTCGACGGAAGCTTTGTTTACTGTTTTCGGACCCGCGAACGGGCGATATGGTGTGATGTGGCGCAGCACGGCGATATGTTATCAACATTTTAGAACGCCTAGCAACGTCTTCTGTTTTTGGCCCGAAAGACGCTTCGTAAACCAGCTCCGAAAAGGTTAAACCGCACCGAGTCGCTCGAGGCCAGAAAGGCGGAAGTACACGAGGAGAAATGCCCGGCGCCGAGTTCACGCTATCAGAGTTGTCGTTTATCGGGCGATTCGCGCAGCGCCACTATGTTCTCACGGGGATCACTAGTGGGCGCGGTATGTATACAGCGCGTGCATTGCAGTGTGCCACGTCCCAATCTTCTTCCCGTTTCGAAGTGTTACTTAATACTTTTTTTACGGCGTGTTTCTTGCACAGTGGCTCGTGGTGGATTAGGAGATGCTGTGGCGCACTAGTTGTCGAATTCCGCGACTGTACATCACGTGCGGGCACGTGCGATTCGCTTTAGTG